ATAACCAGCAATTTACTTGCTTTTTAATTGCACCTTCATTTAAGCAACTTTCCCTTCGTGTAAAATGTCACAACTCTATGGTTGTGTGCTATGCCTGTATCTAGCAGATTTTTATATGGGGCACATAAGATGACTCATGGTAGTAATACAGATAATACTCTATCTAACGCAGATAGGCTTCCAAGTCTCCCTCACAAACTGTTAGGCAAAGATGCTAACCACCACACCACTGTGCAGCCCACCAGAAAACTAAAGTAAGAAAAAAACAAAAAACAAATTATCGACAATACCAGACTATGACAAAAGACTTTGCGTTACTAAGAAGCAAATCATAAAGTTTTAATGACAAGGATTGGGTGATGACTGGGAGGAGTACATTAGTTGCTAAAACGGTGGCATTGAGGAAAACCATAAGTGAGTGGAACAAGAAAACAAAACAGAAGACAATCCTTGCAAAACCAAAGAACATAATTGTAAAGATTTAATGTGAGTGTAACAATAAACATCTAAAGAATAGACAAATGTAAAATAAGAACACAGACCAAGCTTAAATAAAATAATAACTATTAAAAAGAGCACAGGGCAAGCAGTAATCAAATCGAGAATTGACAGGGAATTATATGACTTTGAGACAGTCTTTAGAGGCTCAATGAGTAAGTGTAATTTTAGTGCTTTTGGGGCTTCATTTCTATTGCTTGTTGGTGTATTGAGCCTGATGCGCATCAGAAAATTGCTGATTTTATTTGGAGGACTCGTGTTAAAAGCGACCCTCACTTACATGATATGGATTGCAACTTTAAGCTTATTTTCACACCTTTTGAACTCCTTTTCTCAGTATATGGGAACTTGGAAAAAAATAAAGGTATTATGGAGTGATTGCAGTTAATAAATTGCCACCAGGAGGAGAAAGAGAGTATTTAAAAGCAAAGAGGATTTGAGCTGGTAGCAAGAGATTAGGGTGCTGTGTTTTACTGGGCCAATTCCCTCTGAGTCACTCTTCCCCTCGTGTTCCATATCCTGACAGAAGGGGTCCATAAAGCTACATGGGTGAAGGGATAGAAGTGTGTCTGTACATGAGTTTGAAGGTGGTTAG